GGAGCCGACGACCTGCCAGGCTTGCGCCCCGCCTGTGCCGGCAGCTGTGTCTGTAGCTCGGTGTCCGTGTGGGGCCGCCCTCGGCTGCTGCTGGAAAGAGGGCTGTAGGGTTTAAAGGGTCCGGAGCACAGGTTCCTCTAGGGCTGGAGTGAGCGCTGCGGGCGATAGGCCCCCGTGAGTGGCAGGCGGAGTCTCTGGGTAGGAAGGTGTTTCCCTGACACAGGTGTTGGTGGCATCGGGTATTCCCAGGGGATCACCCCTTTCCTAAGAGGCGTCCAGTAGCAGGCTTCCTCTGCGTGTCTGGAAGGTGTCACCTCTGTCCCGCTCACCTGCCTGTCCCCGTGGGGTGAAGTGGCCCCGGAACTGTGAGTGGCGAGGCGCTCAGGACACAGCCTGCGGGGCTGCACGCAGCCCTCACCTCCAAACCCTTCACTTAGCTGCTGCCAGGGTAGTTACCTTCAGTCTGTCTCACCCATTGCGGTGCGTACCAGGCAGCGCCCCCATGCCCTCAGCGCCGTGCGCACCCCCAGGCCCCCGGTTTCCCCCGGGTTCCTGTGTAAAGCCTCGCCGGCCTGGCCAGGGAAAGCTTTTCCTTGGAATTGCCTCCCTGCCCCCACCTTGCTAGGGAATGTGTGGTTAGGACGGAACCTGCGTCCCGGCCCAGGAAACCCCGCCGTCATGGCCCCCGGAGCCTCCGTTTCCTTGGAAGGTAAACACTGAGTCTGGGACATGCGGAGTCTCCTGTGAGACCCCTTTGGAGAGAACAGCCGGCCCACGCCCTGCCGTGCTCCTCACTCCAAGAGAACTGAGCTCGAAGCTCCTCGCTGTTGTCAGGATGCTCACCTTAGACGAAGTAGAAGTGGCGCTTGAGTGGTCAGCACAGCACCGCTGGTCAGAATTAACGCGGACACAGGAAATACCCGGCCAGAGCCCCTCCCCAGCCCCTGGGCCAGCTGGGTCGTCACGTGTCCTAATTAAGGATCGAGACTCACGCTCCCTTAGGCGTTGTTCTGAGAGCCCAGG